AAAAGAATCATGATACAAACTATTGATAGAGAGCAGTGCTGCTATGAATGATTCTCTAGGAAGTCTATTTTGACAAGGCTTTCTTGGATAAAAATCTATAAGAGTAAACTTTTTAGTTGAGATGTTAGGTATTGTAGGACTTTGATTCAAAAAGGATTATGATTCCATTTCCCTATTAAGTATTAACAAGTGCTGGGAGGAATGATTAATTACTATAAATTGTTGATAACATAAATTATTATTATTTTTAATTATTTTTCTTAAAAAAAGTGATTCGATTATTAAATATGATATTGTATAAATTAAATTGACGAGGAGTGAAGTTTTTTATGCAACACAATATATCATAATACTATAGCGTGCATTTCGTGCGATGCTTGGACGAACTTGTTATTTAATATTTTTTTAAAACATTATTTTAAACATAAATATTTATATTTAACATCTAATTATTGTAAGAAAAGAAACATAAAATATGAAAAATTATTTATTATTTCATCTTATCCCTCCATCTAGTAGCAAAACATTTCATATATTTCATTGACATCATCTTAACCAAATGGACTTCGAATCTTGAATAATCCACTAATCTTCAAGGGCGCTCGTAAAGGGCTGAAGAAACCAGTCCATGACCGACTTCAAGTTGGGGTGGACTTAAAGGCCGAGCATCTTGTTCTCATCGAGTGAATTGCCTCCCGAAGTATGTTCAGCTGGGGCTTCTTCCTCGGGTCATTTCGAGGGTGGTCGGGATGCAATGTGTCTATTCAATAGATTGAGTGTCCCGTATTAAACTAATAACATCTAACACATGATATGTGAAAAAATTAATTATATGAATCCTCATGCATTTTAATATATATATATATATAGTTAGGTTCACATGAGAATGGTTCTCAATGAAAGAAATGAGAATGAATCATGGTCATTAGATCGAATGATCTAATAGCTAATAAAACAATCAAAATTATACCTTCATTAAGGGTATTGTAGTAATTTTCACACTACACATAAAGAGGTGGGCCCCTTTACACAATAATATACTGCCAATTAATACCATCGACACACCCCACCCCATTTTCTCTCTCCCTGTCACAGACGCAACAAAAATCTGAAAACTCACACAGAGAAATCAATAAACACACACACACACACAAAATCGAAAAACACACACACACAGTCACCATCAACAACCGCCCGTCCGCTGCGCCACCGCCCGTCCGCTGCCGTCTCCACCGCCCGTCCGCTGCCGTCACAGCCCCTCTGCCCGCTCTCTCTTTCTCTCTCACACAACGCACACACACACACGGTCACTGCAGTACGCCTGTTCACCGCCGCTGTCGCCCCCCCGCCACGGTCGACACACACTGAGTCACGGCTCTACACACAGCCCTCCACCGCCCGCTCGCCCCCGCCACCGATGACACACACACAAACACACACACGACTCGCCACGCACACACACAGACGCCATTGCTGGCCTCCGTCGCCGCCATCATACTATGCCCGAACTTCCTCTACAACGCACCAATGGCCGTCGAAGGCCGATGCCGGACGAATTGAATCGGAGATCGCAGTGAGCGACAAAAGTTAACCGATTAAGATTAGAATTTGGGCTTAATTTTTTCTCTTTTTGAGAATTAGACAATTTTGAGGGGCTTTTTGCAATTTATTAATTTTGATTATTTTCATTTTAATTAATAGTGTAATTTTGAAAAAAATATATAAAATATTATATTATATATATATTTTTTATACACATTTAAATATTATATTTTTTAACCAAAAAATAATATATAAATAAAATAATAAATATTAAGTGTATTTTTATAATAATAAAAAATGAAATATAATGAAATACTAAGTATGTTATATAATAATACACGCAATTTATCTCGGATCATATAAGACATTTTATATA